CACATTTGTCTTAATTTTCAATAAATCCTCTAGGTTTATAAATGTATGAATTATAGTTACTGCTTTTTATATATAAAATATAGTTCTATAATTTAAAAAATACTGAAATTTTGGTTAAGTATTGAAGAATAAGACATTCTAATTTATTAAAAATTTAGCATTAATTTTTTTAGTACTTTGCATTTTTTATTAAATAGAACATTCTAAAAAACTTTCTATTCAGGACATACAAATATGCCTCATTCTTTCTTTTTTTTCCAAATTTTTATTTAAATTCTAGTTAGTTAACATACAGTGCAATACTAGTTTCAGGAGTAGAATTTAGTGATTCATCACTTAAAATACCCAGCGTTCATCATAACAAGTTCCCTTAATACCCATCATCCATTGAGCTCATCCGCCACCTACTTCCCTTCCTCAACCCAGAGTTTGTTCTCTATCTTTCAGTCTTTCATGGTTTGATAAACTCTGTTTTTAACCCTCTCCCATATATTCATCTGCTTTGTTTCTTAAATTCCATATATGAGTGAAATAACATGGTATTTTTCTTTATCTGACTTATTTCATTTGGCATAATACATTCTAGCTCCATCCACATCATTGCAAATAGTAAAATTTCATTATTTTTGATGGCTGAATAGTTAATTCTGTTCCATTGTAAACTCTTGAAAATTTCTAGTTTTGGCCACATTCTCACTTTGTATATATACTCTAATAAACACAAATTAATAATTCTTTGATAACGAATCTTATCAAGGTGCCTTCAGGATTGTCATTCAGAGCATAAGTATTCATAGTTCAGGATAAAATTTTTGTGATTGAAAAAAAGAATCACTACTGGCTCCAAAACCTGCTATGAAAATGCCTGTTCATACCACATTCTCAATGTCAAATTGCTTTCTTGCAATTGTCCTGTATCTAAAAAAAATATGAATCAAGTACTAGGTAATGAAGTTTTTACTTTATAATATTTTTTTCAGTCATCACAGACTTCACTCAAGAAAGCAGCAAATTTAGTTTCATTGTGAAGCCTCAGCAATTTTTACTGCTGATACGTTTAATTGGAAACATAGAATCAAGTGCCTGTTCAGACAAACCTGAAAAATAAATTCCCAAGTCTCCTCTTCTTCCACTCAAGCTGACACATTGCTATTAACTGTAAATAACAACATATGATGGAATGCACTTAGAATGCCAGTTGTTCAGGATTCTTTCCTTATGCAAAACATTTCTCAAATTCTGAAAGACTCAGATGTTCTTTAACCAATTGCCCTAGGAATCTGGGTGGGGATTTTTAATGGATTTAATATATGAATCATATTTACAATAGGCTATACACTTGCCTTTAATATATAATAATAATGACAGAGAAATGTTCTATATCTAATTTTTGTTTTACAGATGCTTCTCAACTTAAATTTTAAAAGGATTAAACAAATGGTTCCCCACCCCCATAAACTTCTGCTTAGTAGAGGGAACTCTTCTAAAATTCACTCATTTTAAACCAGTTCTAAATTTCTGATTTTTTACCCACTCAAGAGTTTATTATAGTTTAGAATCTCTATACTTCAATGACCACAAAATAACAAATAGGTCTAGAAAGGAGTTTATTTTGAAAATAATTGCTTTTAACAATCCAGTTATATCTATAATCTTAGAGAATATATACACAAATGAATTAGAATATGGAAAACATTTGGATGGTTAGATCAAAATAAAATATTGATTTGACTCAGTGATAATATTGTGGGAATTATTCTTTTGGATTTGTGTTATTTTAATATAATATTTGCAGTAAAGTAATATTTTTAAGTAAAAAAAATAAAAACAGTCCAAGATTCTAGCCCATTGTTGACTAAAGTAAAGTTGTAAGGAAAGATATTTAATATTTTTTCAAAATATGATAAGCTAAGCAGGTGTTCACAAGTGTTTCTACATATTGATTACTGTGGTTATATTATGATACTAATTTTTATTGGTCTATCTCTATTCTATTTTTTGTTTGCATTTGCTTTTTTTCATATAGTCCGCATGTCCTACCTAAGCACGAATCCTATAAAATAAGCACAAGAGTTCAATAAAGAAAATTACTAAATATTTAAGTAAATAATGAGGGTAAATTGTTATCTTTAGTCAAATACACCATCTAATAGGAAAAGCAAGATGTAAAAAATGAAGCACCACATGAATTTAGCCTGTTCTTATAATAATATCTTTTTAAAACAACATCCATTGGGGTCATGTCCTTCATTTGCATTCTTTGTTATTGCCAGGATCTTTTCCAGCATATTAGTACTGATATAAATTTTGTTTGGATTTTCTTTTAGAGGGGAGGGGTTGTGGAAGGGACTGGATAAGGACTGAATGTTATAAACATTGATGATTTTCCAAAGTGAGGGAAACACTCTTCTCCAAAACAGTTTCTCACAAACTTTAAGGAGAGATACAGTGGGAAACCTGAGTTGAGTCTAAACTTAAAACATTGTTTCTTGCCATGGTTTAAAGTTGAAAACTTATGTTGAAATTCATAATTAAAGACATTCCATGCTCATGGATTGGAAGAACAAATATTGTTAAAATGTTTATACTATCCAAAACAATCTATACATTTAAGGAAATCCCTATCAAAATACCATCAGCATTTTTCACAGTGCTAGAATAAGTAATGCCCAAATTTGTATAGAACCACAAAAGATCCCAAATAACCAAAGCAAACTTGAAAAAGAAAAGAAAGTCTGATGGCAGCACAATTCTGGACTTTAAATTATATTACAAAGCTGTAGTGGTCAAACAGTATAGTACTGGCACAAAAACAGACACATAGATCAATGGAACAGAATAGAAAGCCCAGAAATGAACCGACAACTATATGGTCAATAAATCTTCAACAAAGCAGGAAAGAATATCCAAAAGTAAAAAGACAATCTCTTCAACAAATGACAGTGGGCAAACTGGACAGCAACATGCAAAAGAATGAAATTGGACCATTTTCTTACACCATAGACAAAAATAAATTCAAAATGGATGCAGGCCTAAATGTGAGCCTTGAAATCATAAAAATCCTAAAGGAGAACATGGATGGTAATGTCTTTGATATCATCCGTAGCAAATTCTTAGATATGTCTCCTGAGACAAAAGAAATAAAGCAAAAATAAGCAATTGGGACTTCATCAAGATAAAAAGATTCTGTACAGTGAAGGAAACAATCAACAAAATTAAAAGGCAATCTTCGGAATAAGAGAAGATATTTGCAATGACATATCTGATAAAAGGTTCGTATTTAAAATATATGAAGAACTTATACCACTCAACAACCCAAAAACAAAAACCCAAATTTAAAAATGGCAGAAGACACGAATAGATATTTTTCCAAAGGAGACATAAAGATGGCCAACAGACACATGAGAAAGTGCTCACATCCTTGATCATCAGGGAAATACAAGTCAAAACTAAAATGAGATATCAACTCACACTTGTCAGAATGGCTAAAAACAACAATACAGGAAACAACAGGTATTGGTGAAAATGTGGAGAATGGGGAATCCTCTTGCACTGTTGATGGAAATACACACTGGTGCAGAAACTCTGGAAAATCGTATGCAGGATCCCCAAAAATTTAAATATAGAACTACCTTATGATCCAGAAATTGTACTCCTAGGTATCTACCCAAAGAACACAAAAATAGTGATTCAAATGGATACATGCACCCTAAAGTTTATAGCAGCATTATCTACAATAGCCAAATTATGGAAACAGCTCAAGTGTCCATCAACTGATGAACGGATAAAGAATAGGTGGTATGTATATATATGAATATTATATATATTGTATGCACCATTGTATATATACAATGGACTATAACTCAGTCTTAAGAAAGAATGAAATCTTGCCATTTGCAAAGACATGGATGGTGTAAGAGAATTTTATGCTAAAGGAAATAAAGTCAGAAAAAGACAAATATTATATGAAACTGATGATTACTGAAGGGGAGGTGAATAGGGGATGGGTTAAATTGGTAATGGGGATTAGAGTGCACTTGTGATGAGCACCAGGTGTTGTATGGACGTGTTGAATCACTATATTGTCCACCTGATACTAATATTACACTGTATGTTAACCAACTGGAATTTAAATAAAAACTTATAAAATAAAATAATCAGTAATTAATGCATAAAGTGCCTATATCTTTACATGTGTATTTCATCTGTGAACACTAATCGTACATTTTGTATTGATTCTGCAGGTTTTATCTCCTTCAGTAAGATTTTGTAATTTGTGATTATGGAGATGGCATATTTTCAACGTTTTGTGGCACAAGGTATCATAAAAAAGCCATTTTATGGTTCTCCAGTCATTAAATCTTAGTATTACTGGAGCAATGAAAAGAATTCTGCCTACTACCTGGGGATAATGTGATTATTATGTTAGAGTTTAATTGAGTAAGGATAAAGGCCAAACACAACATGGCCCTATGTTTTATTTGACCCTGTGATCATTCAGCACTGTAATGGGAATCCAGTACAGCTGCCAATTCTGACTTTCCAATTAACTCAGGAAAGTAACCAATCTTATATCTTATTTCCTAAGCAGAAATTGTATTGGGAATTGTTTTTCTATTAAGAAAAAAAGTATGAGAGTTCTTTCTGCCTAGGTGATCACCTCCTGCTTTGATTTTGGGGTCAGCAGCCTAAAATTAATATTTTAAGATAACAAATAAACACATAATATTTTAAAATAAAAATATGTGGGTTTTTTTGTTTGTTTGTTTGTTTGTTTGTTTTTGTTTTTTTTAATCTTGGCACAGAGGAAGCGGGAAGTTACTTAGCAGGGTTCCGGGTTTCCTCACGCCCCGCCCGCCCTACCACAGCTAAATGGTTTTCATCCTTGGGTCGGTCTGTCCTGTGGAGAGCAATCCACGTCCACTGGTCCCTGCTCTGCCCGCCCGCTGCGCATCTGCCCTTCTCCTCTGACTCCGCCCCGCATCTGTCCGGAACCGCCTCCCGCCTGAGCCGACCCAGTGCGAGTCTGCCAGTCAGTCCCTCCGGACCTGCCGCGAGTCTCAGACTGCCGAAATTACCGCGCGTCACTCGGTCCGTACCCGGTGGGCATCTGGGGTATCTGGGCGGTCTCCTGTCTCCAGCGCGTGTGTTTGTCTGTCTGTCTTTCTGTGCGATCCGATCCGCCTTCTGCAGCCTGCCTTCCGGCCCCAGCGCACCAAGTGTTTAGTCTGCCCTTTTGCTGACGCTGAGTGTGTTTAGCGGCCTTCTATCTGAGAGCCAGCTTGAGACCGGCCAGGCAGCCGGCGGAGGAATACACGTTTGGCCCCTGGCACTGTTAATAGAATTTTAAGCCAACAGGAGCTCGAGGCCTATGTTTATGCAGAAAACAGGTCTCAAGGCCTCTGTCTGCAGTGCTGGATGTGGGGTGACAGCCAGCTGCTTGATGATTTCTTACAATTAAATGGGGAACAGGAAATTTCTTACTACTGGCTTTTGAAACCGATTTTAAATCTTAATGGGCGGAAATTATAAGTCCTCTTAGGTAGAACAGATTCGTTATTGGGATGCTTATTTGTCTGATGTGTTTGTTCTGAGCCTGCTGACCAGCTGTTTCTGAACTTCATTTTCTCAGCCTCAACAGTGATTCTGAGTCTGCTTTTAGCTTTCTTCTCCTTGGCTTTCTTCTGTTTGTGAACAGCTGCTTGGCCCATAGTTTAGAGAAATCAGCTTTTTTTTCTCTCTAAAGAGAGCCACCTCCCTGTACTCAGAAAGATGGGGAGTGGAGAGCCTAATTCTGCTGGCAAGAAAAAGAAGTACCTAAAGGCTGCCCTGTACGTGGGTGACTTGGACCCAGATGTCACGGAGGATATGCTATATAAAAAGTTCAGGCCTGCTGGCCCTCTGCGCTTCACCCGAATATGCCGTGACCCCGTGACCCGCAGCCCCCTGGGCTATGGCTATGTTAACTTCCGCTTTCCTGCAGATGCTGAGTGGGCCCTGAATACCATGAATTTTGATTTGATTAATGGCAAACCTTTCCGCCTCATGTGGTCTCAGCCAGATGACCGCTTAAGAAAGTCTGGAGTTGGAAATATATTCATCAAAAACCTGGATAAATCCATAGACAATAGGGCCCTTTTTTATTTATTTTCTGCCTTTGGGAACATTCTCTCTTGCAAAGTCGTATGTGATGACAATGGTTCTAAGGGTTATGCCTATGTGCACTTTGACAGCCTGGCCGCTGCCAATAGAGCCATCTGGCACATGAATGGAGTGCGGCTTAACAACCGCCAGGTGTATGTTGGCAGATTCAAATTCCCAGAAGAGCGGGCAGCTGAAGTCAGAACCAGGGATAGAGCGACTTTCACCAATGTTTTTGTTAAAAACTTTGGAGATGACATGGATGACGAACAACTGAAGGAAATCTTTAGTGGCTATGGGCCAACTGAGAGTGTTAAGGTAATAAGAGATGCCAGTGGGAAATCTAAGGGCTTTGGATTTGTGAGGTATGAGACACACGAGGCTGCCCAAAAGGCTGTATTAGACCTGCATGGAAAGTCCATCAATGGGAAAGTTCTATATGTAGGGCGGGCACAGAAGAAAATTGAACGATTGGCTGAGTTAAGACGAAGATTTGAACGACTGAGATTAAAAGAAAAAAGTCGGCCTCCCGGGGTGCCTATCTATATTAAGAACCTGGATGAGACCATCGATGATGAAAAACTGAAGGAGGAATTTTCTTCCTTTGGATCAATTAGCCGGGCCAAAGTGATGGTGGAAGTAGGGCAAGGCAAAGGGTTTGGTGTTGTCTGCTTCTCCTCTTTTGAAGATGCTACCAAAGCAGTGGATGAGATGAATGGTCGCAAAGTGGGCTCCAAGCCCCTGCATGTTACCCTGGGCCAGGCCAGGCGCAGGTGGTGAGAATAAGAATGCTCAATTTGTTTCAGCCTTAAGCTGATGCCTACTTAGTTTGGGCTACTTTGTGATAAGAGGTTATTTTATTCCAGGTTTTTTTTTTTTTAAGTGAATACTTTGTTTTGGGGGAAAAAAAGTGAAACTAGAAAACCTTGTTCATTTTAGTGAAGAACATAATTTCTAATTGTAAAATTGTCATTTTTGTACTATCTTTTGATAAAATATCCTTAGGAATATGTAGAATAAAATTCATCTCTCCACATAATTTTTTTTCCTAATTCAGTCCAGGTAAGGTTATTGGTTGAATATAGTTCCTTCCTTATTCCAGTTATAATACTAAATACAATTCTTCTATGAAAATATTCTCTAAATAAACAATATTTCTGAATCTATCACACAGAAAACTTCTAACTTGCTTTTTGGAAAATCAATAGAGCAGGGGAAAATGTATGTGATTCACTTAACATTTGTGCATAATTTTACCTTATTATTTAAAATGAATATTATTTTAAAGAGATGTGAGTTTTGTTATACTTTTTTTTTCCCTTTTCTACTATATTGTGGGCATACCACAGAGTTGACAGTGGCTTTGACTAAGTGTTGGGAGATTTCTTTAACTTCTTGCCTAGAGAAATAAACATATTGGTGTTTTCTCAATTAACACTTTAAGCATAATTAAAATGAGTTTCATCTTAAAGATCTTTCCTGAGAGATTTAATATATGAAGACAGTCTAAGGAGCATTCTTGCCACTCATTTTTTAAACTCCTTAGTAGTATAGACGGGTCATGTTAAAATAAAGAAAAAGATGAATAACTGCATTGAATTGCCTTTACCTATAGATAATTTTAAAATTTTACCTCCATCTCTATAAAGTGTCAGTATAAGGGTAAATAATCCGTATAGTGATGTTGAAAAACTACATTGAAGAATATCTTCTATTAAACTTGTCATTATCTCTTGTAATTTTTTGAATACATCCATGTGATAATATTCACGTATCTATCGAAAGTAAGGAAAAGCTTGTCTCTTGTGATTAAATCATATGCCTCCATCTATTATATGAGAGCTATTAATCCAGTATGGTTCTCTTTATGTCTGGCTGCTTGGAAGTTGTGACAAAATGTTCTGTTCTATATTGCAGTTACATTAGTTAGCCTGTAATTTCTCGATTACAGATTTTCCATATTTTACTTAAAGTCCCCTCTTTTCCCTACCCATCTACCTTCCATACATATTATACTTTTATGTCTTTTTTTACATTGCCTTTCATTTAATATGTAGGTGTTCAAATACATTTTGGAAATAGAGAAATTATTACTTAATTTATGTAAAATTTAAATAATTACTTTTTAAAAATTGGATTCATTCATATCACAGTTCCAACCATAAGAAAATGTTTTGTCTTTATTCTTAATTGGCTTTTATTATGTTATATAGAAATCTTAGGTTACATACATAATGTAGTATAAATATATAATTTTGTTAACACTTTTGTTAGCTATGTGCCCATAAAATAATGAGAAAAAGTTGTTTCTGTGTAACTGTTTATCTACAAATTGCTTTTATATTCATTATCAAGTATTTTCAAATGAAAATCACTGCTTTTGTTGATCATATACATAATACCTGCTCATTTAAAAAAATGTACAAAATGCAGTCATTTATAAAGAAGTAAAATTTCCACAGTTCAGAGATAACCATTATTAGTGTTTTCAATGCATACATATACTTCCATACCTTTTCTCCTATGTATACACACACTATTTAACAAACAAAAAATAACATACTATATGTACTGTGTTTTGTTAAATTTTAAACTAAAACAATCTTTTTATGTCAATAAATATTGATCTGTATCATAATTTGAGTGACTGCACAGTATTCCATTGTGTGGATGTACTATAGATTATCTAAGTAACACATTATTGAATAAGATTTATATGTTTTTCAATGTATTCTACATCTGTAAACAATGTTGTGATTAACTTCCTTGCTTAAAACAGTGTGCATTATACGAGCTTGAGAAAAAGTATCTATAGCATATAAAAGCTTAAGTCTGGTAGAGAAATTAAAATGCACATTATATTGATATATGTATCAGAATTTTGGACAAAACATTCAAGATATATCCTTTACTTAAATTGACAAAAGTAAAACTAAAACCAATGGGATATAATCTTTCATATTTTCTAAGCCTACTTGCCCAATGGTATAAACATTGTGATCATGAAAATACATGAAAACAATGCAAACAATTGTTTAATTATTTATTTAATTATTTAAAAAATTACTTTAGTAATTATTTAAGTAATTAAGTAAAATAATTACTTTAGTAATTATTTACCATATGTACTCTCTACACCTTTTCACCCATTACCAGTTTTCATTTAAATTTATAAACTAAGTATTAGTGTTAACTTAAAACCTTGACACATGCTTTGATTCAGTATAAATCACAAAAGATTTCTAGTAGGTAAAAATCTTCAAGTATAACCATTTAATACATTTTGGGAAATTGTTCAAGTATTTGGTTATTATTTTCAAGAAGTCAGCCTGTATAAATAAAGGACTAATTAAAGTATGTCCAAGGACAGATAAAACATACATATTAGGACATTGCAAAATAGACAAAAACTCTGAATTTAGTTGGTAAGAAGATAAAGGAAAGATAATCTCTATTTGAACACAAACACCTGGGTAGTATTCCAATCTTGTACTTTTCATTTTTAACAACACTTAATAGACTAATAATTAAGGCTTCAAATTGGGAGCAAAACAACTGGACAGCTTATATTGGTGAAAAGACATTAAAAACATTTCCTCGCACAAGATAATTAGTAAAAATTAGTAGAACAGTACTATCAATTGTCATGGTAAACTCAAGGATAGACTGTTAAACACAAGTTTTGTTTGTTTTTCTTCCTTTTTTAAAAAAAAATATTTATTTTTTTTAGCTTTTCAAAAAAGTCACTGTACAAACTTCAAATGTACCCAGGGAGAAGAAAATTGCCTTGTGGGGTGCCTGGATGGCCCAGTAGGTTGAGTGTCCAGTTCTTGGTTTCAGCTCAGGTCATGATCTCCAGATCCTGAGACAGAGCCCTGTGTTGGGCTCTGTGCTCAGTGGGGAGTCCCCTTAAATTTCTCTCTCCCTCTCCTTCTGCCCCTCCCCTCTGCTCTCTCTCTCTCTCTAAAATAAATGAATCTTAAAAAAATGAATGTTGCTTTATTAAAGATTATTTTGGTGAGACTTTTCTGTAAAGAAAATTTCTTACATATAGTGGTGCCTTTCTGGTTGTATCTGTGGTTAAAGGGAAAAATAAAATGTTATATGTGTAAGATATTTTCAGCACAAGGGAAAAATAACTAAGATTATTGTGTATTTAAGGGAATGTTTAGGAATGGTGTGAATACCATCTTATCTATAAATGGCCTGATTTAAGGGAATAGTTAGAAGTGTATCAATAAATAACTGAATATAGATGATATATGTGTATGATATATATGTGTATGAATATAGAAGATATATGCACCTACACTAATACCCAGAATTTAGTTAGCATTCCATGATTACTTGTTGAATTACCCTCCATTTGTTTGCTTTTCAATTCCCTTCTCAGAATTTCACAAATGAAATGAATTACAGAATAAGCCATTTTTATTAAATTTTATCCCATGAAGAAATAATTGAGAACTGATTTACATAGATTGGTACTTCTAAAGTTGTGTTACTAGTGACATAAAATAGTCATTATACCATTAAGGTGTTGTCAATACTTTTATACTCCTCATGCTTTCTTTTTTGTTATTGTTCAACAATTGATGAGCTTCTAATAGTTGGCATGACTCAAATGAAAGTCTATTTGTATAGAAACATTTTTTTTTAAATAAATTAATGGGATATTCCTCCAAGACCAAAACTATTCCACAGAGGGCCCTGCTCCTACATTAAATCTGCTTATGCATGTGAAATTGTTTCTTACATATTTTAGGGTGTTACTTCCCATGAAGTATGACTTAGCAAATGGTCTCTTGGAGACTCAAGAGAGTTAATGTATCCTACTTGGCTCCAAAGGATCATGGTTAGTAGTTAGATAATCTAGCTACCATTGGAAATCTGAGAAAGACTTCACTCAATATACAAATATTGAGGATATAATTACTATAAAACTAAAAATAAATAAATAAATAAATAAACTAACTCCATGTACTTTCACCCTCTAAAGTCAAAGTCAATTTTAAAAGATTTCTCATTTGGCAACCAAAAATGATCAGTGTTCTCATTAAATTTTTCAACAAAAGTTTGGAGCCTTTAACTAAGAAAATATTTAGTACTTTGGAGAGACTTGCAGGAAAAGGGGTGAATGATGATATATGCTATGACCATCTCAGTTATCAGAGTAAATTAGTTTCTTTGTTTTAAAACTAGTAAGGGAAATACCAGATGTTGGCATATTTTGCATAAAAAATAAATCTTCCATACTGTAGAATAAATAATTATATAAGTTTTGAGATTGATTTGAAACTTCCAAAAACAGGGGTCCTGCATGGCTCAGTCATTAAGCATCTGCTTTCAGCTCAAATCATAATCCCAGTGTCTTGGGATCAAGCCCTGCGTCCAGCTCCCTACTCAGCGGGAAACCTGTTTCTCCCTCTCCCACTTCTTCTGCTTGTATTCCCTCTCTCACTCGCTCTCTCTGTCAAATAAGTAAATAAAATCTTAAAAAAAAAAAACTTCCAAAAAAGTAAATTATACTTTTGGGAAATCAAGGACTTTTAAAATCAATATTTAGGAACACTTAAAAAGTAATTTTAAGCAAATTTACACAGGATGACAACTCCTTTTTTTAAAGCAAAGTTGACATACTAATTATATTAGTTTCAGGTACACAACATATTGATTCAACATTTCTATACATTACTCAGTGCTCACCATGGTAAGTTATACCATCTGTCACTGAACAATGTTATTAGAATATTACCCACTTCATTCCCTATGGTTTACTCTTCATCTCCAGGACTTACTTTATAAATGGAAGGTTGTACTTTTTAATCTCTTTGATCTGTTTTACCTATCTCCCTTCTGGCAAGCACCAGTTTGTTCTCT